TGAAATGAAAGCTTAGTCTTATCAATGGTTAAACTGGATACAATAAATAGCAAATAATTGGGCAGCATATAATAGGCCCAATTAAGGTTTTTTTTTTCTTTCCCTCATCTAACTAAACCACTCCAGCCCCCAACACAGCAAGCTGTCCACAATATTCATAAGCAATTTGATGCTTTTATGTTTTTTAAGAAAAAGATGAATTTTTCTTCACTGAAAGAAATAAGTATTCCTCCGGTTGCAAGGGTAAGATCCTGGATGGCCAGATAAAGGAGGAGCAAGGGAAAAGAGATAACCCATGGCCAGCTATCAGCAATATGTCATAACTGGACTGAAATCAGGCATTTACACAGCCTAGGCTCAATCATCTAAGGTATCCTAGTGCCTTTTGGTTACAAGATAATCTTTAAAAACTTCTGAAAAATGACCTGTTCTTACAGGGACACTAGTCAAAGCACTAACCTGGTCTTTTAGCAGCATTATCCCACCACTGGACTGAATGGTACAAATTTCTCGATGCTTGTTCATGGCAATCACTAGTAAGCCATCCATCACTCGTTCTTCTCGCTCACTAGGATCCACCAATAAATATGTTCTGAAATGAATGTTAAATGGTCCTGAACAAATCTGAAGCTGAATGCTAATTATTTTTAGGATAATGGATTTTTTTAGAAATCTAGAATATAGTCAACACAGTGAAGGTCTAAGCCTGTGGATCTGAGTCACTTTACAGAGGAAAGAATTATTTTCATTAACACAAATGGATGATGAAAGGGATTTTTCTCTGAAGTATAAGCCAAACAAACCCTTTCCACCCCTAGGCTGCTTTTGGTCAGTTTTATCACAGCAACAGAAATCAAACTAGAACACCACAATAGTTAGCAAAAGAAATAAAAAAGTCACCATAATTATTTATTAAATATGAAGGAAATCACATCAAGTTAAGACTGAGATTTAAAAAAAAAACAAAACTAAAACATAATACAAATGCCATCTCTTTGATTAAATGGCTTCTAGCTCATTAATACTGAGATAACACTGATTTGGTTCATTTTAAAGTGTCCCCAAGGTTCTGTCCCCTACTTCTAGGTCCTGCTGATGGCGTATCAGAAAAGGACTGCCTATTTCTACACTGCCCACTGCATTTGCTGACACTTGTGGATACTGAGCTAGTCTAAACTGAGGGTGTAAAATTTTGGTTTTCAATGCTGGGCATGGTGGTGTACACCTTCAATCCCAGTACTTGAGAGGCAGAAAGCAGCAGATCTCTGTGAATTCGGTCTGGTCTATATACTGAGTATACTGAGTTCCAGGTCGGTCAGTGCTACCCTGTCTTAAAAAAACAGAAAAAAAATTTTTTTAAATGGATTTCAAATACTCAGTGGATATAAAAGAATGTAGAAGTCCTGAATAATTTTTAAAATATTGACTACATAATAAAATATTTTGTAGATATTAAATATTAAAAAATAAATTTTACTTGTTTTTGTTTTGTTTTGATTTTGGAGAGGGTCTCACTATGTTTCTGAGTTTGGCCTAGAGTTTGCTATGTAGCTCAGTCTGGCCTGACACCCACGGAGATCTTCATGTCTCAGCCTCATTATTGGTATTACAAGGCTGTTACCGGTTTCTTTTCACCTTTTTAACATGAATTGTTGAAAAAATTTTGATTGTTTTTGTGGTTTGCACATTTTATTTTTATTGGATAATGCTGGTCCATTCTCCTGGTCTAAAATTCACATTGCAATGACTAAAAGCTGAAATATTTTCTCTAGTTTTTGTACCAACCTTTTTTTTTTTTCTTCCTGAAGATTTAAGGATCAAGCTTCACTCAGAAGCATCATTATGTGGATACAGTAAGATGTTACAATGTCACAGTAAATTAGTAATTTAGAAGTATGCTATGAGGAGAAAAATGAAGGAAAGTATAATTATGATAGCTGAATTTTTGTCACTCCTATTTTTCTTACAAAGATAGGAAAGAACTGTAAGTGCTCTAGTATTAAAGGAATGTCTATGACACATTTGAGAATAATAATAAAGTTCTTTGCTTCAGGTTGAGGGTATAGCTCAGCTGGCACAACAATGCCTAACATGTTCAAAGCCCTGGGTTTGATCCCCAGCACCACATAAACCAGGCCTGGTGGAACATGTCTATAATTCCAGCACTTGGGAGGTAGAGGCAGGAGGACCAGAAGTTCAAGGTCATTTCTTAGCTATGTAGGAAGTCTGAGACCAGCCTGAGATACATGAGAACCTTATCTCAAAAAAAAAAAAATCACAATAAAATTCCTAGCTGTACTTATAATTTTGGCCCATGACAAACTGACACTTACCCTTTCTGGAAGAAAGCAAAGCTGACACAAATGGGCATATGGTGGATGCTCAATGGCACAGGATCACGCTCTTCAGGTGTATACTGTTTCAGAAGAAAAGGTCAAATCCTTAAAGTCAGTAACTTAGAAAAATTTAAAAACACAGAGAAAATCATCTTGAGAATCAAACCCTAATAAGATATGCAATTTTTAACTCGTAGTGAGTAGCTATGTAATGCCTCTTAAAACTACATCTGTAATTGCATGACTTTAGCACTGTTCCTCAAAACTGTATACCTTTTACAAAAACTGTTTATGGAGTATAATTTACATTCCATAAAATCCACTCACTGTAAGTATGAGTCAATTTTCAGTAACTATGTGTTTGCAACCATCCAGTTTTTTAATTAACTAATTAATTTTATGTTTATGAGTAGTTTTGACTGCATGTATGTAAGTGCACCTATGTGTGCAATGCCCACAGAAGACAGAGGGGCATTGGATCAAATGGAACTGGAGTTACAGATGGTTGTTAGAATCCATGTGAATGCTGGGAATTAAACCTAAGTCTTCTGCAAGCGCAGCCAGTGCTCTTAGCTGCTGAGCCACCTCTCGGCCCCCATGTAGGGTTTCTGAGAAAGAATTCCACATTAGAGTCCTGCTGGTTTCCAGCACCCAAAAATATTCCTGGAACTCATAATTAACCTTCTAAGAAACTGTCAACTTTTACAACATGATTATACCAATTAACATTTCCATCAGCAGTAAGTTTTTAGATGATTTCATTTTTAAGTCTTCAAATCATGTCCTATTTCTTTTTTACTGCCTTTCCCTCTCTCTGTAGGAACAATGTCCTTCAGAGCCTGTCTTGGCATAGTGTCTCAAAGCAGCATTATGAATGACTGCCCAGAAAATTTGGGCATTTGATGGATCCCTTTACAACTCAGGGGCAAAAAGATAAGGACAACACAAACCACTGGTTCTCAAATGGTCCCTGGAGCATCAACAGCAGGACCATACAAGCACTCTTGGAAGTACAAGTTCTTAGATCCTACCGCTGTTCTCCACTACTAGTAGAGCCTTGTAATGTGCTGTAACAAGCCCCCAGGCATTTCTGATGGACTTTTGTCATCTACTTTGCTTAATGAACAAAGGGCCTAAAGAAAATGTGAATCTGCTGAACCACCATCCTTTTCAGTACTTCAGGCCCCTTAAGAATAAGTATCTCATGGTGACCCTAAACAGTGTACTCTGGTCTTTTTTTTTTTTTTTTTTTAACTATTTTTATTTTATGTGTATGAGTGCATTCCCCGCAGGTATGTAAATACGCCTGTGTTGTGCAATGCCCACGGAGTCAGAAGAAGGCAATGGATTCCCCTGGAACTGGATTTTCAGATGGTTGTTAGCTGTCATGTAGGTGCTGGGAATGAAACCCAGGTCCACTGCAAGAGCTTAACCACTGAGCCTTCTCTCCAGCCCTGGAGTACGTTCTTATTGAGAAACATTGCTATAAAGGAAACTGGCAATTTCTAGGACAATTTTGACCATTTGCAGTTTTTGTCTTATGAACAAAATTCAGAACCTGTCTAACTGCCAGCTACAACACAATTCCACTAATAAATAGCTGTCTGCACATCCAAAATACCCACTCCTTCATAGGAACAATTCTGGTTTGAACCTTTAAAGCTTACCAGTGTTACTTCCTCTCCTTGGACAGACACATCAGGTCTTCGGAAGTGACACAAGGCCACAATTGCAGCAATGCTGGCAGCATCAATAATATTTCCATCATGATTTAATAAATGTAGGTCTACACGGATCTGCCAAACCTGAAAGTGAATTTAAGATTTTAGATTTATTTGTTGAGTCTACATGAGTCATTTGAGAACATGAAAATGTGTAAATAAGCCATTCTGACTCTTGAAACTTAATTATGTTTTTATTGTCTGCTAACTTACAGCACATCAACAGTACTTCATTATTATGAATTTGGGTCATATTTCTCACCTTTTCACCAGCAATGACACAGAGAGATTCAGTATCTATACACTTTGAATTTCTTAGACATCTTTCCAAGAGTCGATTCAACTTCACCAACAGATCTGACTGCCTATGGAAACAGGGATGAACAAATGTCATGAAATACAACCCTGTGCACTAAAACTCGCTGCTACTAAGTTTTTCTATGGCTAAGTCAGCTTAAGAAAGATTGAAATACCTGCCAGGTTCAAAAGCTGGAGCAGCCATCTGAGAGAGTTCAAGGTTAAAAAACAGAATACCTTCTGTTGCCCTATTGAGTTTTGGAGAAACAAGTTCACAGGAAACTTGTCCAAGAACTCTGTAAAAATAAAGGTACAAAGTAGTCAAATAAACGTATTTCCTTTCCAATTAAAAAAAGAAGAAATCTAAAATACAAAATCAATTTTCAACCATTGTGACTTAAGTAGCAGAAATTACATATAGAATATACTAGTAGACCAAGTCTAGTGATATGGCTCAGTGGGTTTGACCCCCAGAAACCATTTAAATGAAAGAGACAACTGATTCCACAAAGTTGTGCCCCCTACATACATCATGTGCACACACACACACAATAATAATAAAGTTAAAATGTATACTAGATTACATGCAAAAATAAAACAAATTGGTATACCTAAAAATATGACAGAAAGAAAAATCTTATTACAGTATTTATTATTCCAGACTTAAAGAAAATCAATCCTTCTTTTTAAACAAACAGAACAAACAAGAGGAAATGGAAACCTGAACTTTCTTAAGGTTTGCATATGGCATGGTTTAACATTATCTGACCAAATATAGTCACAACTTTCAGAAACCCAATTCTCATGTCATTCAATAATAAAAGGGAAAGTGGAACTCACTAATGGCAAGATCTCAAGTTCTCCCACATTAGAAGTGAGATATGCAGGTAACAAATTTAGTGAAATCAATGTTAGCTGACTACATGATTTATAAAGGTCATAACTATGATATTCAACTAGAAGAAAGCAAATTTACAGTTAAAATTAAAGTGTCTCCTTATAGCCTCAGCTGGCCTGGAACTCACTGTGTGGACCAGGCTGGCCTCCAACTCCCAGAGATATGCCTGCCTCTAACCCCAGAATGCTGGAATTAAAGGCATGCACCACCACACCTAACATAAAACTAAATACGTTTTCTGCAACCAAACAAAATACTCTTTGAACGTTTGAGCTGCTTGGTAAACCACCATGTCGGCATGCTACTTTCACAGCTCCCTTTGTTGCACTAACAAGAATCCCATTACCTTGTTTTCCCCAGTTCTACAATACAGCATCCATAATCTGTTCCAAATGAGATCCTGATGTTCCTGTAGTCATAAGTTTGTCTGCCATCCAACCGCTGTAAACAAACATTATTTACTCCTTTAACACATATTTATGGGCAACAGCTATGTTTCTCTGGTCATAGGCTTAATACCTGGAGCAAAGTGGTGTGCTAACCACCCCACCCGGAGCCCGAGACACCGACAAGCGCTGGTGGTGAGGCTCAAAGGAACTGACCAGGGCAGAACACTCGCGGAGTTGACAGAATTCACGCAGAGGGCCACCAGAGTCCACACCACCAGCATCGGAGTCTACCTTGCGGGTCACGGGACTGACAACGAATCCACTCCATGGCTCACCCGAGTCCACACCTCAAGGCCCCGCGCCCCCACAGGCCTCGCACCTTCTTCTCCTCGATGGCTCGGAGCAGGAAGCGGCGCTCGCAGTTGGAGAGTGGCGTTTCTTTCATGCTGTCTACTCACACGCGGTCCAGCACTAGAATCTCCGGGAAGAAACTCGCCCGAGATGCTGTGCACACTGGCTCATTCCGGGCGCGCAGAATGACGTCATCTAGGCGACGGGCTGGGGACTGGGTGCCGCCAGCCGCCTGTAATGAGCAAACTCGGAGCTCAGCATGGGCGGAACTATGGGCCTGGGTGGGTGGGACTGTCTGGCTGGTGACCCGGGCTGGCTGGGTGGGAGGGGCCAGATGTGCTGCGGGAGGAAGGGCTGGGTAGCGGCTAGGGGTTTGGGGTCCGCAGACCTGTTGGACCAAAGCTGGACAAGAGTTGCCCAGGGTGGGGAGTAGCCCAAGATGGCCCCAAACTCGGCAGTCCTTTTGTCTCAGTCTCCCACGTGCTGGTATGAGCCACCACACCCAGCTAAAACAATGAATTTTTATTAAATTACTATCATTAAAATTTAATGTCTGTGGCCCTAAGGTTTCTGTGGACTTAACTCACTGTAATGCACCTAAATGCTAAGAAAGTTGTGAAGTAGGCCTTTCGCAAAGATCATATCCTGATCTCTGGAAATTGTATAAGGTGACATATATACAGTCACCTTATGTGGCAAATATTTTTGTAACTATGATTAAAATTGGAATTTTGAGATGAGTGGATTGTCCTGGATTATCTGAGTGAGTGGATTGTAATTATAAGGGTCCTTAACTGAGGGAGGCAGGAGAAGGAGAGAGGAACTAGGAAAGGACAAGGGGGTGACATAGGCTGAGAGGTCAGAAAAGAAAGAAGATGTTGCACAGCTGGCTTTGTAAAAGGCTACCAGAACTCTAAAATATTATGTTGCTTTTAGACTTGAGTTTCTGGTAACTTGGCATAGCAGTGCCCTAGTCTAGACTGTTAGAACAATGTGCTGTGGGCTGGCTGCCTTATAAACAACGTATTTCTCACAGTTCTAAAAGATCATGGTGCAACTGACTCAGTGTCTAATGAGGATTTGCCTCTTGGTTTGTAGACAGCCCTCTTTTTGCTGCCTCCTAACACAGTAGGAGGGTAAGGGAGCTCTCTGGAGGCCCTTATAAGAGCACTAATCCCATTCATAAAGTCAGTGTCTTTAGCCCTGTGTCTCATTCATTTTCCAAGCCCCATTTTTTCATACCATCACATAGGGGGTTAGGATTTCAGCATGTAGGACTTATCAGGTGTATGTGTATGGGGTGGGGGTGGGGGATGAATGAACACAAATGATCCATCTACAGCAAGCAAAAACAACCCAGAAAACTCATGTTTCCAGATAATATAAAAGACGTTTAGCAAAAATGGAGTTTCAGGTAAATATTTTTTTTAATATATGTGTCCAATTTGACCCATATATTATATAGGACATACTGAGTTTAAAATGTCTCTTCTTTATCTGAAATTCAAATGTATTGAACCTTCTTGTTCTTATTCTTCTTTCCTTCTTCTTCCTCTTCCCTTTCCTCCTCCTCCTCCTCCCCTCCACCTCCCCCCTCCTCCCCTCTTCCTCCTCCTCCACCTTTTTCTTACTCCTCCCCCTCCTCTTCCTTTTCTCCTTCCTCCTCCCTCTCCTCCTTCTCCTCCCCCTCCTTCTCCTTCTCCTCCCCCCTCCTCCTCTTCCTCCTCCTTCCTCCTCCCTCCTCCTCCTGCTCCTCTTCTTCTTGCAACCCTGAATTAGTATAATTTGCTTATCCATTCATTTCTGTATTCATTTTGATCTCCATTTTTGTGTTAAATTCTCTGACAAGAGGCTATCTCTGTTTATTTTGAGTTTTAATTCCTATGGGAGATACAGTATTTGTGAAGATATTTTTACTTGATGATTCTTTATTGTTAGATAAGGATATGTAAAAATACTGAGTGAGAAGAACTTTTTTTCTATCCTTGGCACAAAAGGGAAAGCCATGAATGTCATCTCACAATGTTAAAGCTGTATGGGTTCTGGAATACCCAGTGTGCAGCTTGCAAAGCCAAATGACTCCAGGGCCCAGGAAGATTACAAGTGAATGAAGGTGGTCAGATATAGGACAATAGGGAAAGGTGGAGACTGTGGTACCCACAAAATGTATGATCAGTCTAAAGGATTTAAATATTGACAAAACAAAATTCAGACTGCTAGTTTAGTCCTGTTCCCATAATCTCCAGCATGTCCAATTATTCAAATACACACAACTTGCTGAGATGCTCCTGGCTTCTTTTAGCCAGACTTTTAATCCCAAGATTTTCCCATTTATAAATCCTAGAACTTCTAAGGAACATAATTCATCTTTTAAAAACTACCCAAACTCTTGCCTTCTTTCTGTGATCCTCTCTCTGGCAGCATCAGTTTAGCCAGGGAGCCAGCCAAAGACATAAATTCCTAGGTGCAATCCCAGAGAAACTGGAGGCAGAGGGCAGTAGTCTGAGTTTCCCATCCCCTGCAGTCGATTCTCTCACAGAGTAGAAAGTCCAGAACCTCTGATCTCAATTTCTTGGAGAAACAGATATAGCCAGTCTTGTGTAGCTCTTGGAACCCAGTTGACTTTAGATAAAATAATGACAGGCATCAGCACCCCTTCCCTTTCACAGTGGACACTGCCAGTTGTTTGCAGACACCCAGAGTTAGATGGAGTCAGAAAAGCATATGGAACTTGTTCTGTGTGCCAAGGAGTGTAACTGGCACCCACAAAGTTAAATAAGATGTGCAGAGACAATCTTCACTTGACATTTTTTTGCAATCTCTAAGGCCATCCACCTGCTGTGGATATATTTTATGAAGGAATCTGCAGTTCATACAAAGATAAATCTGTATCAATGGCATGTACTTCCTTCAATGACCGGAAAATTTTTTTAATTGTTTATTATTATTGTGGGAGGGGCATGCATGTGAGGTCAGAGAATGACTTTAAGGAGCCAGTTCTCTTCTTCCACCTTTATATGGGTTCCAGGTGTTGAACTCGGGTTGTCAGTTTTGCATGGCAAGGGCTTTATTCACTGAACAATTTCACTGACTCTGAATGTGGCTTTTTTTTTTTTTTTTTGAGAGAGACAGTATATCTTTGTAGCCCCAGCTGGCCTGGAACTCACTATGTAGGTCAGGCTGGCCTCAATCTCATAAAGATCCACCTGCATCTGCCTCCTATGTGCTGGGATTAAAGGTATACACCATCACCCACCATGCCCGGCTCACTGGGGAATTTTTTTTTTTTTTGATCTTTTTGAGACAGGGTCTCCCTGTAGCCCCAGCTGTCCTGGAACTCACTATGTAGATCAGGCTGGCCTTGAAGTAACAGAGATCTACCTGCCTCTGCCTCCCAAGTGCTGGGATTAAAGGTGTGAGCCACCACACCCGGCTCACTGGGGAATTTTTAATGGCCTCTAAGAGGCTTTCTGTAAGGAAGGTATAATTCACATCTCAAGAATCTGGCTGAAGCTGCATGAAACTGGAAGTTTCTACCTCCAGCAATAGAAAATGCTGGGAATTTGACTTTTTATTCATACATAGAAAAGCCTTGGCCAACTCTGCTTTTACTTAAAAAAAATAAAACCCACAAAACTCTGGCCCTTAAAGTGTTATTTAGCATGTCAGTGACAAAATGATCCATTCAACAATATATTTTTTAACTTTAAAATTTATTTTTTTATTTTTTTATTTTATGTGTATTCATGTATTGCCTGCATGTAGTAAGTGCGCCCATGTCGTGCAATTGCCAAAGAGGTCAGAAGAGGCTGTCAGATTGATCCCCTGGGACTAGAATTACAGACAGTTGTTAGCTGCCATGTGGGTGCTGGGATTCAAACCCAGGTCTTCTTCAAGAACAACCAGTGTTCTTAACCGCTGAGTCATCTCTTTAGCCCCTCAGCAGTTTATTTTAATCTTATTTAATAATGATATCTGAAAATGCAGACTGTATATTATAATTTCCATGAATATACATCTCTGAAAAGAATTATCAATGTCCAACATAAAATAACAACTGGGAAGAAAATTGAATTGAACATAGATTATGTGATAAGCTTGCTGGTGAGAGCTTCTTTAACTTGAGTTGGTTGGTGAGGTCTTCTTTAATTTAAGCTTGAATGTGGGACCTTCTTTGAGTTTGATGGTGGGGTCTTTTTGGCTTAAGTTTGAAAGTGGGAGTCTTTGTAAACTTTTGTTTCTGGCATTGCTGATGAAATTTAGATTTGTGACAACTTTGCAAAACTAAGAATTTAGTCCTTTTCCAGTATACTTGTGTGTTTGAATATACTATATATTCCAAGTTCTTTTCTAAGTACTGGGAAAATGGGGGAAATAAAACTTTTAAAGCCTGAGGGCTGGAGAGATGGCTCAGCAGTTAAAAACACTGACTGTTCTTGCAGAAGACCCGGGTTCAAATCCCAGCACCCACATGACAGCTAACAACTGTCCATAACTCTAGTTCCAGGGGAAGCAACAGCCTCTTCTGTCCTCTGTGGGCATTGCACAACACGGGTGCACTTACTTACATGCAGGCATAACACTCATACACATAAAATAAAAATAATAAATAAAATATTAAAAAAACTTCTAAAGCCCCCTGGAGCTTATAAACAAGCAGACAAAAAATAATCACCTAACACACAGTACTGCCTCTCAATGATGTGCGACTAAAAGAAAAGCAAAGTCCTCATCATAATGTAGCAGGGGGCTTCTCTGCAGACAGTCTGATCAGGAGGGAGGCCACACACAATGATGGGGCAAGGTGCTGGAGGTAAACCGGGTGATTGAATTCTAAAGAGTGAGCACATAGCACACCTGGATTTGAGAGTTTAATGGAGAAAGTCCAGGCTCCACTATGCTTCCTGGTTTAATTCCAACTCCACAACTTATTAACTGAGTGACCTTTGGCAAGTTGGAAATCTCCCCCTTTCTCCCAGCCAAAAACTGGGCTTAATTATAACTTACCTTACAAAGTGGTAATGAGGGTTAAATAAGTTAACATCTGAAAAGCCCTTGGAACATGCCAGAGTCCACTGCTAACAAGACTAAATGCCAGCTTACTAGTCTTACTGTTTTCTCTATTATATTTTTTCATTTTAAAAATATTTTATTATATATTTTATTTTATATGTATGTGTGTTACCTGCATGTATCTAAGTGCACCC